GAAAGCTTATGCTCCCAGTACTTCTGTTAGTCTCAAAGGTGCCACAGGACCCTCTGTTGCTTTTTACAGATTCAGACTAACACGGCTACCCCTCTGATACTTAAAACTAAAATAGTTTGTTTTTTGAGTTTTCATTTTCTTTGCAAAAGAATCCCAAAATCATTGAGGGAAGCAGACATATTCTAAAATTTTGTTATTGGTGATGTTTAGCTGAAAAACCAAACTCCATTAAAAATAACACAGCTGAAAATTTCCAACCAGCCGTAAATTTTAAATAAACTGGGAAACATTAATATTTCTTGTAAAAGCTTGATTTCAAGCCCATTTATTCTATTGCATCTGTGTGATTTCTCTTTCAAAGGGATAGTTGTGTAGAGGTAACAATTAAATAATCAGCAAAGTTGGCAGCGCACACAATGTTTTATACAGACTAGTCTCTTTAAACCCCGGTTTTGAGTTGAACCAAGCAGCCAAAGCCTGTCTATCCTGACCCCATTCAAGGACATAGGGAGCTCACTGGGAGTAGAACCCAGACCTCCTGGCCTAGCTCCACACTGCTGCCGGTTGAGTATAAACGGTGTAAATGGTTGTGCAACACTTACACCAGAGTAATGCATGGGGCTATGTTTTCAAAGGTATTTAAGCTCCCATTGGTATTTTCAGAAGCACCTAGGAGCTTACAACTTGTTGACTTAAAGGGGTTTTGGGGGCCTAGATGCTTTTGAAAATCCCACTAGGTGCCTCAATATCTTTAAAAATCTGCCCCACAGCCCTTCTCCGAAAGCCCTTACAGTCATAGTAGACATGGCAGAGAAAGGAGAGTGGGGTGAAGCAGAATCACAAAGAGAGGAAATGACTGGTCCATGGTCACACAATAGGTCACTGGCTGAGACAAGAATAGAGCCCAAGTGTCCTGGCAACCGCTGTACCACAGAGCACAAAGTAAGTGATATAACATAGCGATGACGGAAGGATGCTGCTAGCCCATTGCTACATGCATGCAGAAGTGCAGCTGGAAGTTGGTGCCATAAATCAATTTGGAAGCAGGCAGCTGGCTGTCTAGGCACAGAGCTTGGGGTAGAAATATTACAGAGGAACTGCTACTTAGGATGCTGGAGGAGTCTACATCATATTGCCCTGCAAAGTGGGAATCAGGTTGTGTTGGCATTTTAGTCTATTAGTTTCATGCCCAAGTTGTGAGCTTGGTGATGGTCACAATGGAGGGACCTTCTTTGCAAGAATTCTTGGATTTGGGGTGTGCTTTGTTCCATCCTTCATACTGCATTTTATCAAGCCACATCTTGGGCTAAATCCTCAGACCACGTAAAGTGATGAAGCTCTGTTGAGTTTAAAGGGGGTTACATTAGTGTGATAACATGACTGATTGATTGTCAGAGGTGAGGAGCACTAACAGTAACTAGTCACTGTAATGAGATATTAGGGAAAGGAGAAACAGGGCCATTCTCTCTCTCACGCTAATCCTGACCATTGTCCTTCTCATTCCCTCCACAGTCATCACACAGCGTACTGAGGAAGAAAATGTCCAACCAAACTGCCATGACTGAATTCCTTCTCCTGGGATTCTCTGACATTCGGGAATTGCAGATTTTACACTTTTTGGTGTTTCTACTCCTTTACCTGATATCCTTGCTGGGGAATCTTCTCATCATCACAGCCATAGCCCTTGACCACCACCTTCACAATCCCATGTACTTCTTTCTGATGAATCTTTCCATCCTAGACTTCGGCTCCATCTCTGTCACCATCCCCAAATCCATGGTCAATTCCCTCATGAACACCAGATTGATTTCTTATTCTGGATGTGTCACCCAAGTCTTTTTTTACATATTCTTTGCTTCAGCAAATTTTGCCTTACTGACCATCATGGTGTATGACCGATACATCGCTATCTGCCAACCACTGCACTATGAGATGGTGATGACCAGGAGAGCTTGTGTCCAAATGGCAGCTATTGCCTGGATCAGTTGTATACTTTACTCTGCATTGCACACCGGGAACACGTTTGCGATATCCTTCTGTGGAGGCAACATGGTGGATCAGTTCTTCTGTGAAATCCCCCAGCTGCTCCACCTCGCCTGCTCTGACTCAGACCTCGGTGAAGTTGTTCTTATTTCTCTTTGTGTGCCTTTATGTTTAATCTGCTTTGCTTTTATAATTGTGTCGTATGTACAGATCTACAAAACAGTGCTGAGAATTCCCTCTAAGCAGGGCCAGCATAAAGCCTTCTCCACCTGCCTCCCTCACCTCATTGTGGTCTCTTTATTCCTTTTCGCTGGCTCCTTTGCCTTCCTGAAACCCACCTCCAACTCAACCTCAGATCTGAATCTCTTGGTGGCTGTTCTCTATTCCGTAATGCCCCCAATAATGAATCCGGTCATCTACAGCTTCAGAAACAAGGACATGAAAGGTGCACTGAATAAACTGATAGGTTGGAGGTTATTCAGGAAGAATAAAATGTCTATATTTCTACACTGATCAGTTTCATTCTGTGTTTCTTTATAAATATAATCTGCTGTTGACATTATTGCCTTCATGAGAACATACTGTGCAATCAGTTTATGCAGAATTGAGTATTTACACTAATAAAAATCCAGACAAACATAAGTCAAGAAAAAAAGTAGTTATTATCTATCTATCTATCTATCTATCTATCTATCTATCTATCTATCTATCTATCTATCTATCTATCTATCTATCTATGTATTGCTAGCCATCACCATTCTACGTGATAATCTTGCACTTAAAATCAGTAGCCATAGGAAAGTCCCTACTGAGTTCTCTGGCTCTTCTTATTTTTCAGGATAATAACTCTGACCAATGTATCAATGCATTTCTTCTTTGGGTTTTTTTTTGTTCGTCAGATTTTTAATTTATTTTTGTTTAGTTGTTTGTTGGTTTTATTTGATGCTTTGTTCCAGGTGGGTTTGCAGGTAGGAAGGCCTGGAGAGACGGTGAGTGTTTGGTAAGACAGGATTTTCAATGTTTGTCTTTTCTTGAGAGTGCTCATATGTCATATCTTTGATGGTGTGGAAGTAGAAAAAAAACTGACAGGGATTTAAAGGCGATTTCAATGCAAACAGTCCCATCTATGAGCAAGAACTGTGTGAAAAGTTGTTGCGACTTTGAGTTAAATAAATGAAATGTAGACTATAGTTTAAATTGTTGAAAAAAAATAAAATATCAGGATGACCTATGTATAAACAAAGTGCAGCTGTTGCCCATTATTGTTTGTAACAAAAGGTATAAATGCTTGCTGTAATTGTTTATCTGATCAGAGACCTGTTTAGCTCTCTCCCTCCACGCAATTGCTAGAGATAATAAAGTATCTGACTTGCTGCATCCAACCTGAGACAATGGGGTTTTCTGAGTGAGCTGAAGGTTTGCTCCCCACAATGATAAAAGGGTGCAAAAGAAGTTTCTGCATGCCTAAGTTCCTCCTGAAATGATTATGTATATACTGTTGGGATATTATTGTATTATTAATGATGTGTTAGGGGACAAAGAGCCTCAGGTAGCTGTCTTTTATTTTAACTTGAAGAAGAGCTCTGTGTAGCTCGAAAGCTTGTGCCTCTCTCCAACAGAAGATGGTCCAATAAAAGATATTACCTCACCCATCTTATCTGTGTAAGAACTGTGTCATTCTTGCTATGGTGCAAACACTGTTTTGAAGAGAAACTTTTTCCAGTGTTTTCTAAAGAAAATTAACTTGGGATAATGAGGCCAAATTTGGATTCCATTGAAGTCACTGAGGTTTAGCCCCTCATTTCAAAGAAATTAGGATTTGGCCATTAGCCTGTATACACAAGGATCCAGAATTGGCTGACAGACCCCTGGAGAAAGTGAGTGTGACAGAAATGTAAGGGTTTAGTATCCCAACTCATCTAAACCAGCATCAATATAGAGTAGACCTATTGACATCATCAATTTAATACTGATAAGGTTCTGGCCCAAAGTCTCTGGGCACCACTCAGTAGTGACATAAACACTGGTGTGAGTTACTTGTTTGGGGTCATTTTGTTCTAGCCTTGGTGTAAGTGGAAATGTGCCATTACGTAGAATAATAGAATATTAGTGTTGGAAGAGACCTCAGAAGGGCATCTATTCCAATCCCCTGCTCAAAGAGAACCAACACCAACAAAATTATCCCAACCAAGGCTGCATGCACTGATCTTGTGTTCCATATGGTATCCCATATAGCTCTACTCACTTCCAAGCTGAGAAAGGATCTCAGAAGTTATTAGTATTAGAATACCATCTTTGTGCATGGTTCTGTATTCTACATATATGAAAGGAGAAGAAATGGTCCTATCTGTCTGTCTCTCTATCTAATCACATGATCTGTTTTTCCCTAACCTCATTTAGTCATAATGATAGATTTCTATTTCATTGTGAATTATGTTAGCTAGCAAGCTAGATAACAAATAATCTATGAAAATTATGGCGCTTCTTTTCCTGTTAATGATTGTCTTTGTCCACATCATAATTTTCTTATAAGTACTCCTTATTAAACTTTATTTAGCAAAGATTTTTTATGACTATATCTTACTTCATCACTCATTTACAAATAGCTCATCAAAACTATTCGGTGTTTGGACTTCGAGCTGTTTTGACTGGATACATTTTAAACATGCTGTGTTTTGTTTTTCTGAATAAATGGAAGTATCACACATGGGTTCCTGAAAAATCAAGGGGCTAATTCTCAGCTGGTTTAAATTGTCATAGCTCTGTTGAAGTTAATAGATCTCTGAGAATTTATACCAGCTGAGGATCTGGTCCAAAAACTCATGATTATGAAATTAAAAGTCACTTTGAGTAGTCTGTAAAAAAGACCCTGATTCTGCAGCCACTTCAGCACATTTTAAACTTTAAACACATGAGTGGCCCTATTGAAGGTTTAAAGAAAAACTTATACTTAAGTCCCTGTTGGTTATGGGTTAGGGTTATGGATAGGGCTTAAGGTTAACACCAAACTGGTGTCAGACCCTGACATGGTGCAAGTTACTCTCCTTTCCCAATCAAATAAAGCCTTGCAATTGGTGCACTGGAATTATTCTCCCTTTCTGGGTTTTGGATTATTAACATGAAAAAACAGTTTATCTCAAAGCCAGAATCTCTGGGTCTTCTCCTCCAAACTCACCAGTCCAGTATGCCCTTTCAACTCCAACCTCTCCCTCCTGGACATCCTGCTCACCAGCATGGTCATCCCAATGGTGAGCAACTGGGAGATGATTTCCTGCCCTAGCTACCATGCTCAGACCTACTTCCACTTCTTGATGGACTGCATGGTGTTCTTCCTCTTCGATGTCATGTCCTTAGACTTCTATCTGGCCATCTGATACCTGGTGCAATATGTCACTATTGTGAGCAATCATATCTTCCTCTGGCTGTTGGCTGCCTCATGGTGAGGCGTAACATTTGCAAAAGTACTTATGTGACAAGGTTCCATTTTAAAAAATGCCTTAGTCACTCAGGCCAGATTTTTAAAGGTATTTAGGTGTGTTGTGAGATTTTCAACAACATCTTATCACTTAACACCCATTTATTTCTATAGTTATTAAGCACCTAGGTTCTTTAGGTAATCATTCATAGGCACCTAAATACTTTTAAAAATCTGGCTGTATTATATTTATAAGTGCCAAAGTCAATTTTGAAAATAAGACTTAGGTACCTAAATAACTTGGTGGGGTTATAATTTTACCCAATGGCAGTAAATGAAGGAGAATCTGTGTGCGTGTAAGGGCATGGCTACACTTGCAGATGTAGAGCGCTTTGAGTTAAACCAGCCTTCGTAGAGCACAGTAGGGAAAGTGCTACAATCTGTCCACACTGACAGCTGCAAGCGCTCTGGTGTGGCCACATTAGCAGCTCTTGCAATAGCCACAGAGAGAAGTGTGTTGTAGCTATCGCAGCATGCAAGTGGCTGCAACATGCTTTTCAAATGCGGGGGTGGGGTGGGGTGGAGTGTGACAGGGAGTGTGTTGTATGTATGTGGGGGGAGAGAGTGGGTTTTTTGGGGGCTGAGAGCATGTCAGCATGCTGTCTTGTAAGTTCAGACAGCAGCAGACCCCCCCCTCTCTCTCACATACAGCATTCCACAGTAATGGTTTGCTCTGTGTCGGAGCAGATAAGCATGCCGGATGTCAGAAACGGAGCTTTCAAAGGGCATATCCGCATTCCGGCAGCGATTCCAAAACAATGACAAGAGTGGCCACTTGATTTAAGGGGATTATGGGACGTTTCCGGAAGCTGATCAGAGCGTGGTAATGCAACACCTCGTTCACACTGATGCCTGGGCGTTTCAGCCAAGGCGCAGCAAGCGTTAATCTTCTCACCGAGGTGGAGTACCAGGAGCGCTCTAGCCGTGGAGTCAGAGTGCTCTACATGCCTTGCCAGTGTGAATGGGTAGTGAGCTAGGGCTCCTGGGGCTGCTTTAATGCACTCTAAGTCGCAAGTGTAGCCAAGCCCTTAGTGTCAGTGTGTGAGTGTGTGTGTTTATATGAGAAGAAGAGGGAGAATGTATACCAGGTCTACACTGGAAAAGTTTTGCTGATATAGCAATACAAACAAACTCTCCTAATGTAAATGTACTAGTAGTTTAGCTGGTATTGCTTACACTGATTCTCTGAGAGAAACAAGCCACACCACAGAAGCATTTTTAAGCTGGTTTAACCATGTCTACACTAGGCGTTTTACCGGTATAGAAATGTTGCAAAAAATCACACTTCCAAGCTGACATTGCTATGATGGTGAAAGTGTCTAGTGTAGATCTGGCTTATGTGTTTCTTTTTGTGAGATTACATTATAAGTGCAATGTACTGAGACTTTGCTTTCAGTGTGTGTTTGCTAGTCAAGTGCACTGGTCACATGTGTGTTGTTGTCAGTGTACATTATTGTGAGTGTATTCCTGAGTTAAAATCAATGTCCATGTGAGTTTTCTATTCCTGTGTGTGTCCTTGAGAACATACATGATGTTAATGTACAATATCATGTGTTTATTACTGAAAAATATTGTGTAACTTTTGTGTGTGTTGTCTGTGCTTCTTCTGGAATATATGTGTGCATTATTGTTGTGTTTGTGAATACACAATATTGTGTGTTTATTAGTGGAAAATATTGTGTGACTATATGTGTGTTGTGACAGTGGATTATTGTGTGTGTGTTTCTACATATACATGATTGTGCATTTATGGGCAAATATTATTTTGTGCACGTGTATGTTTGGAAGTGAACATTAATAATGACTTATCGCTGAGTCTGGTATAAAAATCACAAGCTGCTGTCTTCCTGCAGCTCCTAAAATGGTAAGAATTTGGTCCGTTCAAAGGTGATGCCTACAATGCATCATTTCCTCACATGCCAAGTCCAGCTCATTTTAGGGGTCCTTCAATATTTGTATTTGCTGCTTTTTTTATTTTAAAACAACATTTTCAATAATTATTTTGAGCCACATTTTCAAATGTCGCTTTTATTCTGCATCCTGAAAGGAGTGAAGAATTGTGCAAAAAATTACATATTTGAACTTTTATTTTCAAGGGAGTCTAAGGAAGTTCATGAAGTAGATAGGAATTCAGAACTTGTTCCAGGCCCAGGTCCTCCAAGGTATTATGCAACCCAGCTCTCATGGGACTTGGTTTTTGGTTTACCACTGACATACTTGGTGGCTCTGGGCAATAGCCAATACTTGGTGCTTCACAGAAGGTGAAAAAAAAAAAAGCCAAGCCCTAGGAAGTAACAAGATAGACACAGGGCTAGATTACAAAGGGGTTTAGGCACCTATATATGGAGTAAGATGCCTATTGGGATTTTCAATACCACCTAAGCAGGTTAGGCCCCTCTCAATGAATGTTCATGGGATTTAGCCAACTAGCTCACTTAGGAGCTTTGATCAATTCTACTGGGTGCCTGTCTCCATCTTTAGGTGCCCAAATCTCTTTGTAATCCTGGCCTACAGGTAACACAGAAACTAGGGTGAAGTCAGGGTACCATGCGGGATGCCCATTTTCGATTGAAAATCCATGAATGTATGACATTTTGCCTCTGGGCCAGTCCTTCTGAGCTGTTTAGAGCTCCAGGGAAGTCCCTGCAAGCCCTTAGAAAATAGAGAAGGATAGACAGCCTTCTACAGCATCAGTCCTGTAGTGTCAGGGAAGCTCAAAGTCAGCTACACACAGCTCATCGACAGACAGCATCAGGTTTCAATCTAGTTCTGTTAGTTCATTCTCAGAGTGACGGGTGAAAGGGCTCTTACATAGCTGTGTCTTTGGCTTCTAGATACTACAGCAGTAGGAACAATGGAGATAGAGAAATAATGACCAAAGAATTCTGGTGCTTGAGGATCGAATGCATCACAAGTTGGGGAAAAATCCACAGTGATCAGCACAGTAAGTTCACTATTTCTATAAAATATTGTTGTGGATTAATATACAGAGAATTGTAAGACCCTAAACATCAAATTACAATTTGAATCCTTTAAGGCTTTAGCTGTCAATTAGGTCAGACATCTAGACCTAGTCAGAAAAATATCAGTGCAAAATTTTGACTTTGTATCAAAGCCTGAAATCAGAATTTTTTTTAGTATTTGTCAACCAAAAATGGACAGCACTTTCAGCTCTGATGCACTAGCCAGGTACACAGGAAAAACACAGGGAACTTTTGAATTTCATTTCCTGTTTGGTCAGCATGGCGAGCTCAGCAGAACAGGTGACCATGCTGTCCCAGATCGCAAACGAGCTCCAGCATGGAGAGAACTGGAGACACTGGATATGATTGCTGTATGGGGAGAAGAATCTCTGCAGGCAGAACTTCGATCCATCAGAAGAAATTCTGATATATATGCCAAAATCGCACATGGCATGGTGGACAGAGGCTACACCAGGGACACACAGCAGTGCCGCGTGAAAATTAAGGAGCTCAGGCAAGCCTACCAAAAGAAAAAAGGAGGCAAACGGTTGCTGCGGGTCAGAGCCGCAGACATGCCACTTCTATGATCAGCAGCATGCCATTCTACGGAGGGACCCTACCATTACCCCACCATTGTCCGTGGCAGTCTCACACAACACGGAGGAGGGTTTTGTGGATGAGGAAGAGGAGGAGGAGGAGAATGCACAGCAGGCAAGCAAAGAATCCATTCTCCCTGGCAGCCAGGACCTTTTCCTCACCCTGGAGCCAATACCCTCCCAGGGTATATTGTTCCCGGACCCTGAAGGTGGAGAAGGCACTTCTGGTGAGTGCACATTTGTAACTTCACTAAAAGGGTTAAAAGTAATTCTGTTTAATGTTTCATTTACCCTGAACAATTGGGATGCATTCATAGCCAGTACATGGAAAAGTCTGTTAATGTGTCTAGGGATGGAGCAGGAATCCTCTAGGGACAGCTTCATGAAGCTGTCCTGGAGGTACTCTGAAAGCCTTTGCAGAAGGTTTCTGGGGAGGGCTGCCTTATTTTGTCCTCCATGGTAGGACACTTTACCATGCCAAGCCAGTAGCAAGTAGTCTGGAATCATTGCAGCAGAAAGCATGGCAGCGAAATGTCCTGGGTTTTGGTCACATGAATACAACATTCGGTCTTTATCTTTCTGTTTCAGCCTCAGGAGAGTGATATCATTCATGGCCATGTGGTTAAAATCAGGGAATTTTTGTAAGGGAACAGTAATTCCCTCTGACTGATGATCCCCGGAACATTAGACCCCGATCAAGCTGAGCTGTTTGCACTTGGCTAAAAGGGATCACCCCAGAGAATAGCCATGCGGGGGAGGAGGAAGGGGGAAGAGAGGAGTGTGCTGCACATCCACCCTAAAACCACAGCCCCTCCTTTTAAACGGCAACCGCAGCCCCTCCTTTTAAACGGCAAACCCAACTGGCATTGATTGCTATGGGAAAGGAGGGCGCTGCAATTTGAAACCATTCCCACATGTTATGCACGAGGAAGAAGCCAACCCTGCATATCCTTTGGCTTACCATGGCTGCCTGCAAACTGAATTCTGTTGCCCAGCCATGTGTGATGTGTCACCATACCGGCAGGTGCTCAATATAAAAGGAAAAATGCAACCTTGTACATAAAGGACATGTGCTGACTGCTGTAAATTGCATGATTCACTGTGAAAGAGTCTCCCTTTTGTTCTCAGGAATGTATCTTCTTAAATGTTACTCTCCCTTTTTATCCCCCCTGCAGGTGCAAATGTTTCTATGATCCCAATATCAACTCCATTCCTGAGGTTATCACAGATTAGTAGGCAAAAAAATGCTCTCATGATGACATGTTTTCAGAGCTCATGCAGTACTCCCGCACTGATAGGGCACAGCTGAATACATGGAGGCATACAGTGACAGAGGCCAG